AAATATTTTTTAAAATGGTGTCACACAGCATTTGGTGTCTTGTAACTTGATGAAAGGAAGACTACAAGACAAGTTTGGGAAAAGTCTTGAGAACGTCATGGAGAAATAAATGAGGAAATAAATAATGTAGTAAAACATTCCAGTTGAAGACAATCCTCGTTTAACTTTCAAGCTGTCACTTCTTTGGAAACAACGTACTGCAGGAGAAAGAGCTGACTGCAAGTGATGATAGTTAAGCTGCTGCTTGTTAGCTGAGTCACAACAGTTGAACCTGTGCAGCCTGTTTCAGTTGCTAAGTAATGCATGCTAGTGCTTATTTTTTGCCTGAAGACTTAAATGCCTCAGATATTGTTTTTAGACAGCTTTACTTAGGTAGACTACATGCGTTATTTATTCATACAACTTTTTGAAACATGACAGACTAAAACCTCAATGTCTCCTCATGGAAATGAGCTTGAAGATTACTTACAAGTAGTGTAAAGCAGTGCTTCTTTTTCTGTGTCATAAATAGGTTGCTTTTCAATATACCCCAGCAATTCCTTTCTAATCCTATTCCTCTTGTTTTTAAGAATAAATAGATGTTTCTGATTTATGTTCTTTAAACTACCCACAGCAGGGATTGTTTGTCTTTAAATTACACTGAGTAGTTAAAGCTTCAGTGTTTTCACTGTTTTCCAGGATTTTGCTAATCTAAGCAGCAGCATCTACGCACACACCAAGAATTCTCCTAGAAATTGTAATGGCTTTCTAAAGCGGGCAGCTGTTTGCATTCCTGTTGTAGTCTATGTCTTTTTTATCTCTGTTCATAAACAAATTTTTCTTTGCCTTTAATAATTTTTAATGCCCACCTTCCAACCATTTCAATTTCCACACTAATCTCTTTGAGATTTTATGATCAGAACTGAATGCCATGATCACGATGAGGATACATCACTGTTTTACATAATAGCATTATAATATTTTCTGCATTATTTTCTGTCTTTATCTCCATTCAGCCTAACATCCTGCTTTTTTTCTACCTACCTCTGCTCATTGAGCAGATTTTTCAGTAAGCAGATGTATCCACCATGATACATCTTTGCTTCCCTGATTGTTAACATGTGAATCACTAAAATGGTTCCTTTTAACGTGAATCACTTTGCACCTATCTACTCTGTATTTCATCTTGCATAATGCTCCCCCAGCGTGTTGTAAACGGGATCTGTAAGTTGTTCATGGTATTCCGTATTAACGTAAGAAATTCACATATTCCTCCTGCTGATTCAACTTCAACATTGTTCATCTTTCCTTGCTGCTTGCTAAAATAATTCAAAAAAATTTTTAAAAATCCTTTGATCTCTACTTGTAGTTTCCTTTCTTGAAAAAGGATGATTTATTCCCTAATTTTATGTTTCTTGCTTTTTTAAGTTGCTTATATCACAATAGAAGAGTACCTTGTAACCTTAACTCCTGCACTTCCTCCATGCCCCTCAGGAGGGATTTTGTCAAAATCCAGGTTGTATGGCTAAATGCATGTGTTTGTTTTGTTCAAGAACAGATGAGCTGCTTGTAACCACTTGTTAGCATTGTCATTTGCTATCAGACTTGAAAATCTTGTTTTAAGGTTTTCTTTCATATCTTTAACAACACATGTTAACACCAATGCAACTGACAGAATTTGAACCATGAATTGGAGTCTTGTGAAACTTAGGAAAGGATTTGCCTTGCCAACTTAGTCAGAGAGCAGTTAGCTTTCTGGTGGAAGCTGCTTAATGAGATTTCCTGTAGAGACAGAGACGTAGAGAAGGAGACACGTGCATGTCCAATGGGAAACTCAAGCTGTCAAAAACGAAATAATTTTTAGATAGGTTTAATCTCTAATAGGTATCTTAAGGTATCTGTTGTCTCCATTGACATGAGAGGGGGCAGCAAATTAACGTTTAGATGAGCAAAGTTAGGTAAGAGGAGTTCAGCTGCCAGTGATAGTTCAAAACACATTCTTGTTTATGAATTCCTTGAACAGCTTTCCTAATAATTGGCATTTTCATCACTATTTTCTTGCCCACACAGAACTGACTTCTACACCTTCTGTTGTTCTCCAGTGTGCCTCATCAAGTGGGTTCCCTTCTTGCTGTTGTCTGGCTCTTTCCTTCTACACACTAGATTCATTAAATCAGGCGTGTAGTCCTAGTTGTCCTCAGACTTGTTTTATCTACACTGCCTGCCAGAACTTTTCATATTTCATCGTGTCTTATAGCACAAAGCTTTGGGCTTCTGCCAACTCTTAATACAACAAAACGAGCTACTAGGCAGCATTTTCTTATGTAGTCAGTTACCCATCTTTTTTGTCAATGGCCATTGTGTGCCACATTAACTGTTGAAAAGACATGGATAGCTCTCAGACGGGTCTGTGGTCATTCTCATACATCTGCTCGCCAAATTTCATGCCAGACATTTTCGTTCTGCAGTCTCAACCTACCACATACACCCTACCATCTCATTATCACAACTCTATGCAATCCCTTGTTATCCTCTCTCATTAAAACCTAACCAGCTCTCAATCATTTTCTCTCTGCAATGCTCTTACTGCTTTGATGCTGTTTTGTTTTATGAGAAATGCACTCTTCT